TATTACCAGAGTTAAGGGCATGACCAGTCACTTTCTTAATTAGATTTGAGGCCTGGTCTGCAGGTGGGAATTTATGCTTAGTGCTGTGAACTAGGAGAAAAGCCAATAGCAAAGGGATTCATAAGACCTAGGGAGTAGGTAGGGCTCCACATACTACTGTTGTGCTGCTAAATGGTAATCCTGTCAAATGGCCTTCTAAATATTCTAAATAATCTGTGGATGCCCACAGATTATTGCTACTCTTACCCTTGGTCAGAGAAGCTTGTTTTTACACTTAGTGCAGAGCCTAATTGATCAAAATGTTGCACATAAGTGTCTGTTGAACATTAGGTCCTAACAGGACATCTGCATCACTCTCTCTGAGGCTTAGTTAACAACATGCCAAAGATTGTCAGGGCTGGAAGGTGGGGAGCTCTGTAAAATGCCAAACTGGAGGATATGGCTTGGCAATTGCACTCCAGAACTCATGGCTCCTGACAGTAGGTGGGGTACTTGTTGGGAAGGAGTACTGTTCTATTGCTGTGGCAAGACACCATGACCAAGGCAACTTATAAAAGGAAGGGAGCAAGCTAACTGGAGGGTATGCGCTTTGAAATCTCAAAGCTCACCTCCAGTGACACACCTCCTCCTACAAAGCCATGCCTCCTAATCCTTTTTACACAGTCTACAATAAAAGCCAAACATTCAAATTGTGTGTGTGTGTGTTTGCATGTATGCATGCACCTGTACACGTGCAGCACATATCTGAAGGTTAGAAGACAACTTGTGGGAGTCAGTCCTCTTGCTGATCTAATGATTTTTCATATTGCCTTAGATTATGTAGCCTTTGTTTCATAGAGGGATGAATAGTTACAGGACTCAATTTAGTATAAATGTAAGCAATGACTATGGGGCAATTTCATACCTGATAATGCTAAAAATAAGAACCATGTAAAAATACAAGAATATATAGACTCACTGTTGAACTCTATCTCTAAAGAAGAACTAACATCAATGTATCTCAAATCACCTCATAAAATAGAAAGGGAAACAATACTACCAAAAGCATTTTATAAGATAACCATTATCCTCATATCAGAACTGAGTAAAGACACAAAACAGACAAGTATAGGCCAATTTCTTTGATGAACTTGGATGTGAACATTTTCAATACAATACTTGCAAGCAAAAGTCAACAGCACATTAAAATGTCATATACCATGACCAAATTGAGATCATTCCAGGGATGATACAAGGATGGCTCAACATATTCGGTCAATAAATGTGATATGGCACATAGATGCAAGGACAGAAATCACAGGGTCACCTCAATGTATGCAGAGAAGGTCTTTGACAAAGTTCACCATCTTTTGTGATAAACTGAAACCCTGAAGAAACTAGGAATAAAAGTAATGTATTTCAACATAATAAATGCTCTATATAAGAAAATTCTATCCAGCATTATACTAAATGAGGGAAACAGTATTTCCTCTAAAATTAAGATGAGACAAAGGGTGTTTATTTTCTCCACTCCTATTTAATGTAGTTCTTGATGTCTTAAGAGCAATAAAGCAAGAGAAAGAAAGAAAATGGAAACAAGACGAAAAGCAAGAAGTTAAATGATCTTTATTTGTAAGTGATGTGATCCTATGTTTGATATCAAACACAATTTCAGAAAAGCAGCAGGATATAAAGCCCATATAATAGCCAGCAGCTTTTCAATATAACAACAACTAACATGGTGATAAATATCAGGAAAAGAACCCCACCCATAATTGCTTCAAAAACAAAATTAAACAACTAAATACCTAGGAATATATGCAAGGAGGTAAAGACATCTACAATAAAGATTAAAACACTAAATAAGGCTGGGCATGATGGCTTACCTCTGCAACCCAACACTCAGCAGAAGAATGAGGGTTGCTGCAACTTTGGTGCCAGCCTGGTTTATATAGTAAGACCTTGTCTCAAAAACCAAAACTAACCAAACAACAACAATAATGAAAGAAAGAAAGAGAGAAACATGGAAAGAAAGAAAAAAGGAAGGAAGGAAGGAAGGAAGGAAGGAAGGAAGGAAGGAAGGAAGGAAGGAAGGAAGGAAGGAAGGAACTATAGAAAGGCCTCCTATGCTCATGAATAGGCAAAATTAATACTGCAAATGTGGCTGTAGTCCTGAAACAAATCTCAAAATAACAAGCGTGGTACAGGCACAGAAATACACAGATCAATGGAATAGAGTAGAGGACTCAGATGTAATCTATAGCTGCACTGTAAGAACCATCCACATTCCATAACCAGGTGCTCCCTCATCCCCCACCCAGCCTTCAAAAGCTCAGCACAAGCATCACTGTCATCACAATGGGACACATTTCCACCGTGCCATGGTCCCAAATGCTCATGCCCCATAACCCCTATAAAGTCCAAGCCATCACTCCTCTCTCTTCCTCCCTCCCCTATCCCTGTCTCCCCTTTCCTCTCTTCCTCCCCACCTACTTCCCTCTCTCTCATCCTCATGCAGAGGCAGGCTTTTGAACCCCCTCCAAGTAAATCCCTTGTATGAGGTCTGATGCATGGTGTGATTATTATGGCATTCCTTGACCCTTTGATCACCAAAAAAACCCTTACATTAGTTATTTTATTCAATCACAATGCCTAATACATACATTGAGGGGAAAAGACAAACCTATTCAACAAATGTTATTGGGAAAACTTGATATTCCCATGTAGAAGAAGAAAACTACATCCCCATCTCTCACCCTGTAGAAAAATAATCTCAAAGACCTTAAATGTAATGTGAAACTCTAAATTCCTCTAGAGAAAAACCCTTTTGATATATGCATAGACCAGGTCTTTTGAGAAAGGATTAAAGGTTCAAGAAATAATAGCAAGAGTTGACAAACTGTATTGCATGAAATTAAAAAGCTTCTACCCAGCAAAGAAACAATTAGTGAGTGAAAAGATAATCTAAGAAATGGGAGAAAATCTTTACCAGTTATAATCTAAAAGAGGATTAATGTCTACAATATATAAATAATTCAAAGACAGCAAAACCAGGAGCCAGATGCTGTGGTGCATAACTAGAGGCCCAGGAACTGGGAAGCAGACACAGGAGACTACAAGTTCAGCGCCATAGACTGTGTTTCGAAAACAAACAAACAAACAAATAAAGGATCACTCTGGTTGATAACTGGATGAATTTGTGGGAATCAAGCAAGACAATGGAGGAAATAATTGGAAATTCATTCAGTAGTTTAGGCAAGGGACACAGGTTGCTTTTCCTTAAGGTGTGAGCAGGGAAAACAGTGCAAACAAATTGAATTTTAAATTCATTTAAAATATGAACATCACAATATTTCCCACTGGATTAAATCTGGACTACAAAATGAAGTAAAGACGATAACAAAAATTTAGGACTGTACAAGTAGCAAAATAGATTTGCAGTTCGCAGACAGGGAATCACACATAAGTCAACCAGAATGACAGGGGACAGATGAGCCTGCAGATTAGACTTGTCTGGGCTGGAGAAATTTATTTGGGAGATGGTCTTTTTTTTTTTTTTTCCCCGAGACAGGGTTTCTCTGTGTAGTTCTGGTACCTGTCCTGGCTCTCGCTCTGTAGACCAGGCTGGCCTCGAACTTACAGAGATCTGCCTGGCTCTGCCTCCCGAGTGCTGGTATGTGTCCCCCACTGCCTGACTTTTTGGAGGTGGTCTTAAATGGCATTTAAAACCTTGGAAGTGAATAAAATCATCAAAAGGATTATCAATTGTAGATGAGAAAGAGAACAGGACTGATCCCGGCCCCTCCAGTGCTCAGTGATCTCATTAGAGAATACACCTTGAACACAGACTGTGCAGCTCTGGGCATGTGTCTAGAAGGCTGGTAGACCAGGGAGTCCCAGACTTTCCTGTGCACAGGAATCCTCTGGACATCTCAGCAAGATTCAGAAAAAGTCAGGCTTGATGACACAGGCTTTTAATCCCAGCACTCTGGGCAGAGACAGATGCCTCCTCTCATAGGATCTCTCTGAGTTCAAGGCCAGCATGGTCTGCATGTACAGCTAGTTCCAGGCCAGTCAAGGCTACATAGTGAGACTGTTTCAACAAACAAACAAACAAACAAAATGAAACAAACCCCACAAACAGAAACAAAACAAAAGGCTTGGGGAATCTGTGAAGACACAAGAATCTCTGTATTTATAACAAGTGGTGCAGAGGCAGCTGTTATTCAGATCATGGAGCTGCAAGGAATGTGGACAAGGAGCTCCTGGGCCTACTAGATCCATCAGCCTCACTTGTGGCACATTACATAAATAATTCCTGCTGCCGGATCTATGAACCAAAGGCTGAGGGGCCCCCAACTGGATCAGGCCACCTGAACGGGTGAGACAGCCATTTGGCTTGATCTGTTTGGGAGGCAGCTGTGCATTGGTGCCAGGTCCTGGGCTCGTTGCATGAGTTGGCTGTTTGAATCCTGGGACTTATGCAGGGACACTTGGCTCGGTCTGGGAGGGGGGAATGGACCTGCCTGGACTGAGTCTACCAGGTCAACCCCGGTCCTCCGGGGAGACCTTGATCTGGAGGAGGTGGGAATGGGGGGTGGGCTGGGGGGAGGGGTGGGCGAGAGGGGGAGAACAGGGGATTCTGTGGCTATTATGTTGAACTGAATGGTGTTATAAAATAATAATAATAATAATAATAATAATAATAATAATAATAAAACCAAAAAAAAATAATAATAATTCCTGCTGCCAGGTATGGTGGTTCATATATGTAATTCTAACTCTCCAGACTGGGGAAAGAGGATTGCAGGTATTTCAAAGCCATACAGATTTTTATTATTAACTTTTTTAAAATTGTGTGACAAAATATCCAGCAGAAGCAACTTAAAGGAAGAAAGATTTATTCTGATTCATGATTTCAGAAGGTTCAGTCAATCTCAGCACAAGGTGTGATGGAATAAATGGCAGCAGGGGCATGTGGCTGGGATTCCTCCAACTTCAGTAGATCAGGAAGCAGCATGGAGGCATCCTCACATCTGGCTTTCTCCTGTTCTTCATTTTATCCTTGGGCCCCAGCATTGGTCTTCCATCCTTAATTAATCTCTGGAAACACTCTTACAGATGTGACCAGAACTGAATCACCAAGGAGATTCTAATCCAGTCAAGTTGGCAATGAAGATTAACCATCACAGCTACATAGTGATTCCCAAGCCAGCCTGGGACACAGTGTGAGATGCTGTTAACAGAGAAACAGAAAAGGGAAGTGTGAGTCCTGGGCTACATTCTGAGCAATATAAATGAGGGATCTGGAAAGAGTCCTGAGTATTTTGGAACAAGATTTATGGTTACTGATGTTAGTGGTGAGAACAACATCCATGATGGAAAAGGGTGTTATGTAGGCATTCCACTTTGGGGAGGGGTTGAGAAAGAGAAGGGAGAATATACATTATCAGTCCTGAGCTGTCATGTTGACAGATAGGTATTGTTTTCTCTCCCATGAGGTGTAGCCTCAGATAAAAAATACAGTAAGAAAATACAGATAGAAAATAAATAATTACATAGAGTCTCTGACTGGCTGCTATCTGAAAATTCCCTGGGCTGATTTCTTACTTTTAGGTATAAATAATGGAATCCAGATTCTTATCATTTAAAAACAAAGGAATTTAATAAAGATATTGGAGGGTTGTTGATTATTTTGTTTTGGAAAAAGCCATGAACCAAATATGAGGCTTCATAGCTGGGAACAGAACTGACAAGCCCATCAATACCACGTCCCACAAGGATCCACTGAGCACAGGAATCACTGACACCCAGGATCTGGTCTCTGTGGGACAGATTTCCTGCCACTCATGGGAACTGGATGTGCCAATGTCACCCCAGCCAAATTCACTTATGCAGTTCCAGGTTTTCCTTATCTCCATGTGCTGAGTCAAGGTGCAGCATGTGGTCACTCAGCTGGTGGAGCCGAGGACTACCATGTGGTGCCCAGCTGCAGGAATGTTAGGAAAGTGACAGAGGGACTTGCTCTCTGTCTCCTTTCTGTACACTTACTAGTTGTTTCCTTAATGTGTAAGGAGAGTTCAAGAGCTGGGACAAGATGATAAAAGGTAGAAATACAATGATGATTGTAGATTCCTGGAAAAGTTACCTGAATAACTACATCATAGGACATAAAAAGACTGCCAGTGATCCAGGAAAATGATGCTCTAGAGTACCTCCATAGCCCATACTTTGAAAAGTATTAGCACAACTGTATAAGGTAGCACACAACTTTAATCCTAGCACTTGGGAGACAGAGGCAAGTGGATCTCTGAGTCTGAGGCTAGCCTGGTCTGCATAGTGGGTTCCAGGACAGCCAGGGCTATGTAAAGATACTTTGTCTTAAAAAAAAAAAAAAAGCTAAGTAAAACAAAAAACTAGTCTGCTAGTTCATTCACTGAGTCCCAGGTTAGGTGAGCACTCACACATAGGTGTGTCTCATAGTAACAAAACAGGACATTAACACATTTCCATCTAGGGCTTCAACTCATGGAAAATCCTCAGACACCAATCCCTTCCCTACCTGAACTTTTCTTCCTCATCATCACAAGGGCAGCCACAGCTCCAGTGACCACAACTCCAAGGAGAACCACTCCAACAGTCATTCCAATTGTGGGCCAAGGAGGTGGTGGCTCTGGGAAGACAGAGTAGAGTTGAGGGGCCCTAACCCCCAGCTCAGCACTGATCCCACTCAGGGTCTCCAGAAGGTCACCTGTCTTCCTGATAACAGGCTCTGTGCTCTCACCCCTCCTTACCCCATCTCAGGGTGAGGGGCTCAGGCAGCCCCTGATGCTGCACATGGCATGTGTATCTCTGCTCCTCTCCAGAAGGCACCACCACAGCTGCCCACTTCTGGAAGGTTCCATCTCCTGAAGGCCTGGTGTTCACCAGCTCCATGTCCTGGGTCTGGTCTTCCCCATCCCTCTTCCAGGTCAGGGTTATCTCAGCTGGGTAGAATCCGAGAGCCCAGCACCTTAAGGTGACATCACCTTCAGGTCTGGGGTGATGGGTTAAATGTGCCTCTGGAGGGTCTGTGGAAAAGAGTTGGAAAATTCAAGTATTTTATAATTTTTTTCTGGGGACTTAAGCGGTATTCATGTTCATATCCTGCAATGTACAAGAGAATCAAGATGTGGGGGAGGAGGGAGGGTTGTGCAAACCCCACACAAGCTGTCTACACTCAGGCACTAGTATAATCTATTCCTTAGAAAAGAAAGATTCCCAAGTTTCCCACCAAGAGAACAGGATTTCTGGTCCTGACTTGGGTGGAGGGATGAGCGACTCACCATCACTTGAGTCAGACCTCCAGAGACACTGGGTGTAGGCAGAGAATTCAGCCTCTGGGATGCCATAGTTCACAATGGGCTGCAGACTGAATGGGGCTGCTGCTGGTTATTTCAGGGATCTCCTTTCCTATTATCCCAAGACACCCTAGACTGTCCTGAGAGAAGGGCCAGTTCTGGGAGAGCCACTCTCTGATGTTGGTCAGGAAAACCAGGAGCACTCTTCTCCCTCCCTATACAAGAGAGAGCTACAGTATTTCAACTGATCCCATTTTCCTCCCTTCTTGAGGTGTGTGTGCACGCTACTCTGAGTGCAGATGGAGGAATTGCTTCTCAGTCCCTCTTACCTGAGCGCTGCAGAGTCTCCTTCCCTACTTCCAAGTGCTTGAGTAGCCAAGCAACGCACCAACTCTCCAAGAAAATCTTCCACTTCTCTGCTACATTTTTTGCTTCCCACTGTTGTTGGGTGATCTGAGCCGTCTTGTCAGCCACAGTCCAAGTTCTCAGGTCCTCGTTCAGGCTGATGTAATCACGGCCATCAAAGGCATGTCTATAGTGCCCACGTAGCAAGAGTCGGTCTGGACTCACGTCACAACCAATGAAACACTGGAAGGTATGAGAGCCTGCCGCCGCCCCCAAAGTCAGCCCTATCCACAGGACCCAGCCCACCCACAGAGTTTCCACCTAAACTGAGCCGGAAACCGGGTCTCAGTTTGATACTCTCCCGTGTCCAGGGTCTCTCTGGGCCCCGCAGCCTGGGATCAAACCTAGGAACTGGGACCCAGGGCGACTCTAGCCAGTGGGGATATGTGGGGATATGTGGGGGTCACTCACCGTCATCACTCTGGTTATAGATCCGGATCGCAAATCTCAGGTTTTCTCGGGCTGTGTGTGAATAATGTTCCATACCCTCTCTCTCCCACTCCCAATAATTATGCCCCATCTGATTCGCCCAAGGCACGCGCTGCTCAACCTTAGCCACCTCACTGTCGAAGCTCAGGATTTGCGTGTTCTCCACAAAGGCAACGATGAACACTTGGGGATCTCGGAGACCCATTCGAGAAGCAGCCGTCGTTACGGAATAGCTCAGGGAGTGCGACCCTGGGGGCGGTGCTCAGTGAGACCCAGACCCTCTTCCTCCCGGGACCCTGGGCAAGTGCTGTGGCCGGGAAGGGGTCAGAGCGCAGGGCTCCGGAGGGACGCATGAGGAGAAGGGAGTGGGAGAGTCTAGATGAGAAACAGCATTTGGGTTGCTGCCGGGACTGGGCGCCCTAGCTCCTCCCACCAGTGGCTGTTTCCTTCCTGATCCACACTCACCAGCGCCACTATGGGTCTTCTTGGTCTGTGTCAGAGCCAAGAGTACTGAGAGCAGCAGGAGAGTGGGACTCTGTGCTGCAGAACCCATCATTGGTGTCCAGGAAAACTGAAGGGATTGAGGCCTTGTTCCTCTCTGTGGAGTTTATAGCGGCGTGGTTTGTGGCGAGAGACCACAGTGACTGTGAGTGGTTTTCTCCAAATTTCCCACGTGTAGTGGGAGTGAGAACACGTGTCCAGATGGACACAAGGGACAGCTGACATGGGTTGAAGGCTACAGTACGGAATTCCGGGACATGAGGGAATTCCCATCCTATGGCTTCCCTGCCTCAAACATCTTGAAAGCAAAACCTCAGACCAGGGACTCATGGAGACCCCTTCCTCCTGTAATTGGAGCTCTTTGAGTCCTGTCAGGAGGTGTATTGAGATTCTGAATGTTTTGGTTTCAGGGTCTCTTATTTGTGCTTATACATTATTAAGTACCTCAAAGTTTTATGTAGGTTAATTCCCATTATATTTACCGTGTTAAAAGCTGCGCATGGTGACTGACATCTGTAATTCCAGCACTTAGGAGACTGTGCTGGGGCAAGAGGTTTGACATGAGTTTAAGTCCAGCTTACCCTACGTGACACTGACATTAAAAAAAAAAAGATTTACTCATGGCATGTGCGTGTGAATATGTGCGAATGTAGGCCATGTGTGTGAGGATGTCATGGAAGTCAGAAGAGGAAGTCAAATTCCCTAGAACTGGAATCGCAGGTGTTTGTGATCGGGGTGCTAGATACTGACCTGGGGTCATCTACAAGATCAGGAAGCACTCTTAACCATGGAACCATCTCTTCAGTCCCTTCATACTTTGACTATAAAAAAGACTTTTAAAAAGTGAGACTGCCCTTACATTCTGCAAGTAAGTAGTTGTGGTGAAGAATGTAGTAACTCCTGGTTAGTTTTTCACAGTCTTGATTTAGATTAAGGTGTCAACAGATTAACTCACCGTCAAGCACACCACAGTAAATATGGCAAGTAAATCTGAGAGGCATAAAAGTATATTTGATATCATACACCTCATGAAAATAGCTAAGTAATTTTATGGGTTCCATCCAGCTTCAAACGCTATTTGGTTTTTGCTGGTCTTGGAGGCACATGACTTATTTCCATCATTCAAGAGGCTAAGGGGTAGGGGCTTGCAGAATGTCAGGGAATAGTGAATGTTTCTTAGAGGAAGTCAATGTGCTTGGAGAGCATGTAATTGCCTGTTGGGCCCAGAGAACAGACAAGCTTGTAAATGGTTTGAAAATTATTTTGTTTTGGAGCATTGGATGGGACTAAAATAGATGATGATGGTATGTGGCAAAAGTCTGTCCAGGATGCTGACAGGCTTCTTGCCATAGGAGTCTCTTAATAAAACAAAGGGAGAGGAACAGAGGTAATTATTTTCTACTTTGGTGATTGGGGACATTAGGCAGGCTAGGGGAGAGAAGAGTAAAGTCTTGTTCAACATCAGCTGCTAACTTCCTTTATGTAAAATAACCAGCATGAGGCTGCAGAGCTGCATAGCATCTGGCCACCAGCTCCCTGCTGCCCTGTACATGGCAGGCTGGCATGGCCTGGGTGAGTAAAGCATGTCTGCTGGCACCTTGTGTTGCAGAGAGAATTGGGAAGGGATAAGCCCAGGAAAAGAAAGGAATGGAGCAGCCACTGTAAAATGGGCAAAAGATTGACTGCACTTTGGGAAGAGGTGATGGCCACCAACCTACGGGAAACAAGAGAAGAGGATAGGCTCATTGACTTGCTCTTAACTTCCTACAGGCTGTACCCAACAGGAAGATTAATGATGAGATGAGTGGAGATGGAGAGGCTATGGATGATATGATGGAAAAGATGAGAAGAATCAAGGGAAAACTTAGGGAGCTACATTCAAGAAACTGTATATTCTTAGGGAGGAGCTCTCTAATCAACATGCTCATCATAATGATAACAATAAAGCAATAGCTTTATCTTTAGGAGGATTTTACAAAGAACAGTATGAGAGGGGAGTAGATGGATCCTGATCCATGACTCTTTACATTATGGTGCTGTCTGCCTCTGGGGCTTGAAAACCAGCCTGGCAATCTAAAGTCACTTGTAGGGCTGGCCCTCCAATTGTCCTGATCTCATTTGCTTTGATTCATATGAATCAAGGAGAATGTTTTTCTTTCGTCTGATGTCAGTTGGGTGGTTTAGTGTTACTACATAAAGTCTTTCTGATGTAGGAACCTCAGGGGAAAGCCAAATGTTTTTAGTCCCTTAACTATGAGGAACACATACATCCTATTTTATAGAAGATATGTGCAAGCCAAAGTGTTAAAGGTCACAGGAAGTCCATTTGGCCAGACTTGCAAACATTTATCCTTTTTAGACTGTGAGACAATAATAGTATTAGTCAGAGATATAGAATTAGGAATTGGATACGAAAAGAATGGGTACATTTGAGGCTGCATCTTTAGTATCTGCCAAGCCTCTCTAATTTGCTATGCATATAACTTTAGTTTTTTTTTCTTTTGTTTTTTCTAGATTGAGTTTCTTTTTTAAAAAAAGAGTTTCTCTCTGTAGCTCTGGCTGCCCTCGAACTCACTCTGTAAACCAGGCTAGCCTCAAACTCAGAGATCCACCTGCCTCTGCCTCCCGAGAGCTGGGATTAAAGGCATGCACCACCACTACCCAGCAGTTTTAGCTTCTTTACTGTAGCAATCTAAGTAGGAAAGTAAATAACCTGTAATGGAGCATTTATGGTAACATCTGTTAGTACATGGAGTACCAGCTAAAGTTAAGAATGTGTAGTTCTTGGCAAGTTCCATACTCATTATTTGGAGTAATTTTAATAGTGTTCATGTTTCCTTTTGCCAGCATAGAAGTTCTAGTAAGGGTAATATTTCTTAGTAGCATAAAAAGGGAGAAATAGAGAGTGGCCGTCAGTACACGTGTGTGTCTCATTCTGTTTCTAAGTGCCTTAGATTAAAAAAAAAAAATTATTCCTAAGTCCTGCTACTCTGTAGCATTCCTTTTACAACCCCAGAGCAGCCTTGAAAGACAGTCTTTCAGTCTGCTTTATCTGGCTCTATAACCAGGGACCAGTAAAAGGATAATCAGAAGACTATCCATGGGAGAAGAGGTAGTCCCATTGGCACCTTCTGGGAGTGATCAAGAGAGACGACTCCCTATTTAGCAGCCTCAGATAGCCCTCAGTCAGGATTCTGCAGATCTCTTGGACATGGAAAGCCAGAAAAGACAGGCGAGTAGTCTAATTCCCCAACTCCTTATGTCTTTTCCTTTGTCTCTGTCTTTCCCTCAAATTGGGTCAAACGGAATCTAGAGAACAGCAATTGTTCATTGGGATTATTAAACACACACTTAAGAAGAGAGGAATTAGGGCTGGAGAGACGACACAGTGGTTAAGAGTATCTGGCTGCTAGTCCAGAGGTTCTGAGTTCAATTCCCGGCAACCACATGGTGGCTCACAACCATCTGTAACAAGATCTGGCACCCTCTTCTGGTCTGCAGGCATACATGCAGACAGAACACTGTATACATAGAAGAGAGGAATTAAATTTAGTATGAGCCAGCTGAATGACTTTCATACAAAAAGTCAGCCCCTGGTTTCCAGACTGGGGGAACCTAGATGTAGACAATAGGATAGATATTAAGATAAATGGTGTATGAAAAAGTGAAGGGATGGACATGCCTTTTATGGTATTTGCCATTTGGAATGTACAGGCAAATGGTCAAGAACTGGTGCACAAACCAGATCTGGAACCAACTGCTCCCCAAGCAAGAGAGAACACCTCCACTGTCACCTCACTCAGAATCTAGAAAGAATGCTTATCCTTTAATAACAGATCCCAGAGAAAACAGCTCAGAAAGAATACTGAATAATTAACCTCTGAGGAGGAAACTGACTTGGAGGAGGAGGCAACAGAGTATCATAATCCTAAACGTCTCCCCCTGCAACGTTTAACCATACATTTCAAACAGCCTGGGCCCCTGAAAAAAGTAAAAAGAAACAAAGGATGTCTCTGACTCTGACTATCCTGGACCTTGTAGGTCAGGCTCAGCTACAGGGTATGACAGGGAACAGAGAACCTACTCAGAAACTCTCGCACCTTCCCCCCCCCCCCAAAGGGAAAACTCAGTTGCAATTTCATTCCAGTTCTAGAAAGAGACAATAAAATACTATAATCTTATTTGGTTTTCCCCACTGTGCCTACTTGTAAATCACTCCACATGTCCCCCAACATGTGAAAAAGGGTCCACAGAATTCGCTATGCTCTCCCAGCAGATTTCCAGGGCCCACTGCTAAGCTGCCTCCTTTAGTCAGAGCATCCAGCAGGACAAATCACTGGGAGAGGAAAGGAAAGAGTTAACTTCCAAACTGCCTGCAGCCATGGATATCAGTTTGCAATGGCTATGGCTATTTGATGAGCTACAAAGCAAGCTTCCCTGACAGACTGACAGCTTCTGCTGTGCTAGCCAAGCCACTTAGGCCAATTGGAAATTGAAAGATGATCCTCCACTCTTACTTTATCCCAGCACTAGGGACCTGTTTCTTCAGCTGTCTTCTCCTGTTCCTACTCTAAATATCTTGGAGCTCCAAGTCCAAGAGAAACCGACACTTTTATGATTGTTAATCACAAAATGTTAGTATAAAATGTTTATTACACTTGGAGATATAGAATATAATGCACAATTTCTTTATTTTCTAGACTCTCCAATAGTTTAACTTTATAACCCCCTTTATAGGCTATCTCCTTAGTAGATAACAGATAGAAAAACCTGGATCTTCTTCTTCTTCTTCTTCTTCTTCTTCTTCTTCTTCTTCTTCTTCTTCTTCTTCTTCTTCTTCTTCTTCTTTTTTTTTTTTTTTTT